TCTAGAGAGATGTAATTGTACATCTTTCCAAAGGAGACAAAAAAATCATCCATACAAAGCTTTTAGTCTCCTTCAGCCACGTCGGTCACCTAAGAATGCATTCCTTGATGTGAGAGTGCAGTATTCTCAAATTTTGAATTCACCCACAAGGGAGCCCTCTATGGCAATGCTTTCAGCAGTCACCAGACAATGGCAGATACTGACAAACACTTTGAGTTGGGACAACCTTTTCATTGCCAGAGTAATGACCCAAAGTGAGTGTACTATGCAAAAACACCCCTATCTAGCCTTTGAAATTTGCAAAGTATGAAGTCATTCAGCTAGGTTTCAAACTATGACATAAAGGCCTAGGTTTTTATATTCTGTTTCTAACCTAGCCAGAGACACTGCATTAGAAATATTCTGGGTATAAATAACACCTCAACCTCAAAACTGTCAGTAAGAGGATAGCAAGGTTGTATTTAAAAAGTGGTTTATCTCAGAAAGATTTATTTTTGTTGCACGTCTATGGAACTCAACATACTGAGTTGATGGCATTTTAAAAAGCATACATAGCCTTCACATTCTCCTTTCCACCGAAAGGAACCAGATTCATAAATCTATGTCACTGAGTCACTAAGAGAAAAGGGAGCATAAAAGCCCCCACAGAAATGTAATGATGATAAAGGCTGAGAGCTGTAAATTCTGCAACTGGCAGTAGAAAAGAGTAACTGAAGCAAATACTGTGGCATTATAACCAACTACAAGACACATGACTTGAAGTGGCATAGACTCATTCTTAACACTCACTTTTTTCATATTAAGATTTAACAGAAAAAAGAAGGGAACATAAAAGAAAATGAGACTAATTACTTGAAATGTGGGTGCTATCTAAGAGATTTACCTAAAGAGCATGGTTTGGTTTTTCCCTGTTTCTAACGTAGGCTCTAGACCAAGCAGAGAAATGATGCCCTCCAAGTGGTTCCTATTTGTTGGAAAAAGAAATATATATTCCCCAAATCTTTGAATCATTTTAGGGTGGCATCACTAACATGCACAAAAGCAAGTACACACCTTGTTATTGCAGTGCCAGCTGCAAAAAGGCCTCCTCCTAAAGGCAGATCCAAAATCTGGGCAGAGCTCCACAGGAGATCTGCTGAGTCAAAGCATGTTTGCTCTGCTGTTTCTGCTAGCAGACAGATTTTCAGCACAGATTCACTCTCACTGATTAAACAGAAGCTGTCTGTCCTTGGGAACTCCTGAAAGTCTATATCTACAAAGGAGAATATTGTTCAGGGCTGTGTCTACTACCAACAAATTCAGAGATTGACCTAGTATTGTTTCTTTACCATCAGTACTGGTTTGTTTGAACTCTCCTGTGAAAAGGTTCACAAAAAGGTTTATGTACTCAAGTTGTGCACCCAACTGCTACCAGGGGCACAAGTGGGAGAATCCAACTTCCTCTGTAACAAAATTCCTCTTCCTCTTGTAGTAACAAAATTCAAATCCAAATTCCTTCTGAAGTCTAGAATAGAAAAGTATTTTTGCCTCTGTTATATTATTACTCCCATTTCGTTTTAGCTCTGTCTAAATATTTCAGAATTTAAAATTAAAAATATAGTCATTTTAGAGAAGAATGCACTGCAGAGATGAAAGCAGGTGACTGATTCTTTTTCAGGAGAACTAGCTGGAAGACTAGCAATACTCTCTAAAATAAATTATAGAAACATTTTAGTCCTTCACATGGATTAAACCTGAATTAGCTCTTGCCAGAGAAAAGGAAAAGGGTTATAAGCAATAAATCACTAGGTCCACATGCAGAAAACCTACTCAAGATTTCTCAAGCCAAATATTTTTGTGTATATATTAAAAAATATTTATTTATGTTACAGTTTTTGTTGTTACTATTATTTGTAATCTTTAAGTTTTTAAATTTTACCTATGAATGTAGAATATGAATGTTTCCTGAAGTATCAAATGTTTGAAGTTTATCAGACTTTCAAATCCTTTAGCCAGGCTTTAAGACAGAATGATTTCTCAGTCCCACAGAATGGTAGACAAATGCTTGCCTGTGGTGCTGCTGTGTTGCATATCTCGGTGCTAATAGGTTTAGACAAAAATACAGACACTGACTTTTTTGTATGTAAAATGTTAATGGTCAAATTAGGTATAGCATATGTCACAGCTGGGCAAAGTCAAGCTGACCTAAGCATGGCATACTTGGAAATATGACAATCCATCCACTGTTATAAATGGGAGATGTCAGCCAGAAGTCAGACTTAAAAAAAAATGCTTTTCAGTACATTACAACAGCTTTGCATGAAATGCTTTTAGAGAATGATCTCTGCACACATTTTAAACTGACATTCTTTATCCAGACGTAAAAGGTACCTTTAGATTTATTGTACTGATTGTAATGTAGTTTCTAGATGAAGCCTTGAAGCTGATGGTCCTTGAGCTTGAATTTGACCCATTGTGCACATACATGAAATGCCACCACTGCCATCAGAGGCAGTTCTATGATGGGGAAAAGCATTTTAAGTTCCAGAGGGGCTTAAAATCTGCTGCTATTTTTTTGCCTCTGTATCTTTCACAAATGCACAGACACACACACACACACATCTGGTCTCCTGGAGCACTGGTAATTGTGACATTTTTAAAAATTCTTTCCTATTCAGAAGCAAGCTACAGTTTTAGAGCATGGGCTAATGAAAATCAATTATCAACCCTGAGATGGGGAGAAAAAACAAAGAGGAAGAGCAGCAAGGCAGCAACTGGGCTTATGAAATTAAAAATGAAAATAAAAGCAAATCTGTTTCTCATCCTGACAAATGAGGCAGGACTGCCTGTCTGTCATCCCATTCATCATGCAGATGACTGCTCAGCAGCTCTAGGCATGTAATCATGCAATCCCCTTCCCCAAATTTCTACAGTTGTTGCCAACTGTTTGTAAATATTCTAGATAGAAAGTGTGGGAAATTGAACTTTACAAACCTAAAAGATCCATAGCGTTTAAAAATATTTTTTTTTTCTTGTTTCATTTTAACAGAGATTTTTTTGCTTTAACTGTTACGGAGCTGAGCTGTTTTTCACCAGGAGAGAGAAAATGGCAATGATATTAGATCTAGGAGGTTGGAAAACAAACAGGTGGTGAAAAATTAATAATAAGTACTCATCTTTACTGTTGCTAAAAAGAAATCTTTGTATCAGAGGAGATTCAATAATACATGGCATGCCATCTGGTTTGCCTACAGACCGCAATGAGATTTGCAGATTACAGCTGGCTCCTCACAGCCACTGTCACCCAGTTAACCCAGAGCTTGAATGAAAGCAGCCTATGAACAAAGGGCAGCAGAGCCTTCCTTTCTGAAGGAAAATCTTCAGATAGCTGCCCCAGCAAGCTAGCTGCCACAATTCTAGGCTCAGTGGTTGAGGGTGGTGTAATCCTTTATCTTGTTTTTGCTGAACTTTCAGAGCAGCACCTTCAAATAAAGCTTTCGGTTGCTTCTGAATAGGTAGGAAATTCTGTCCCAAGCTGTTGAACAGAGCAGTACTTGCAACTGTGAGCAGCAAGCCTTCAGCATGATACTACCAGCTGATACAAAAGACTCAGAACATCCCCTTGTCTTAACAAGTTGCAGTGTGAAAATCCATCTTCCAATTTGAGCATCATGTAGAGACTCCACTCAGATTAGCTCTCTTATCCAAAAGCTCATCATCTGGTCTGCACTAACCATGAGAGCTTATTCATTCTCTAGAAAATAGAGATGTATCTTTCATAAGAGCAGTTCAGTGTGGAGCTCAACAGCAGCAATAAGAGGGACACACTCTGAAGCTGTCCTTTTCTTTGGATGACTGAGTACATCACTGGTGTTCAGATTACTTGAGCAACACAAGATCTATTTCTTGTAGAGCAGAATCAAGCTAAGTCCTCTAGTTCTTATCTTCTGAGTGCTGAATGTCCAGACTCAGCATACATGGATCGAGAAAATCTCTATGTGTGGAGATGAAATGTGCTCCATGGGTTTAGTGGCTTTTTCTGCCACAACAGGTTAAAAAGCTTGACAGAGAGAAAAAAATTTATTAGGCAGCTTGTGGCTGGGCAGCAATACTCACTACAAACAGCCATCACAACATCACTGACTTTTACTTCAAGTGTAAAACATGTTTGTGACCTTGTCTGTGTGAAAAAAGTACACAGTAGTGCATATCTTAACCAAAGATGCTAAAAAGAAATGTACTGAAAAAATCACACATTTTGTTCAAACTCTGAACAAAAGCTTCAAACACAATTCTCCCACGAGGATAGAATGCAAGAGAGCACAGAGAGCACACAAGACAAATGCTAAATATATAATCCAGAATAATGCTAGAAGGCTCTTAGGTATGAAAATACATCTTGAAAGATAAGATGACACAGCTGAGAGTAATTCTAGCTTTCCTTTTGGATCAGCTGTTCTTTAAAAACATTACATTTTTTTGGATCCTCATTTCTCCTTGTCTGGTTAAAATGACACATTTTTATGGAAACATCTTGATACTCACAAAATATATGGTAATATAACCATCCATTTTAAGTTCTATAACTCTGATGAAAGTTTTCTTCGTATTTTTTTACACTTGAGCCAGATGGATGAGAAATCTAACCCATTAAGGTTAAAAGCAACATAAAAATATTAAAAGACAACCCCACTCATAGCATCCCATTTCTTTCATTGAGCTACAGTAGTGCTTTCAGGCAAGTTAGAAACTACTCATCAAATTGCTCATTTCTGTGGAATAATCCACATTCACTGACATCACAGAAAATACAATGGTTGCTATAATTCCTATGGAAAGCATTTTAAAGTATTCATTGTCTTTCCACAAAATCAAAAATCCTGCCTTTGGGCATAGGCAATGTATCCAGAACTAAATTTTTCAAGATAATGTACACTATCACAACAGTTTAGTGATATCAAACATTACCTCTGATAGCTAATATAAATCTCAATAGCAAATATGAATTTCAATTTACTTACCAATCCTGCACAGCATTGAAGGATTCTTCATTTGTGATGTCATACATTAAAATGAAACCCATTGCACCCCGATAGTAAGCCGTGGTAATTGTTCTGTATCTCTCCTGACCTGCTGTGTCCTGAAACAGTAACAAAAAAACCTTTTACATACTGTAGATAAACAGACAATTTTTTTTTCCTTTCTTTTATAATTAGAAAGAGAACTAGCAAACTAGCAATGGTCACTGCACAACTGTGCAATCCTATTCATAAAATTAATTGAAAGGTGAGAAAAATGAGAATAACAACAGAAAGGAGTATTCTGCTTTGGATCATAATAAGAGGAACATGTCCATTCTGCAACATAGTGAGTGGTAAAAAGCAGAAAGAATATTTTATATCAGAAGCCATTCACTGCTTCACATTGTGCAATGTATTTTGGATGAGAACCTTGTTTCCTGCTCCTGTCTGAGAGCTTCCCATTTTGATAGAGGGGAAAGGTAAGGTCTTATGTTCTGAAGAAACAGTTGGGGCAAATCAGCATCCCTAAGACTTTCACCATAAGATCAGTATGGTTCTTGAAGTCTGTGGATGTACTGGCTAAAAATCAATGTTTAACGGCTCTGTTCGTATGATTTTAAACCACTGAAGTTCATGTCATCGTTAGCAAAAACAGAAATTTGTGCCGACAAAATATAGGGCTGAGATATTGTCCTTCTAAAATAAGAATGATCTCTGGCAAACAAAAGATGGCTACTACAGACCAGTTTTCTTCCTCATTCTCTGTATTTCTGTAAAGTCAGGAATGAAAGTTTTCTTTTTTCTTACTCCTTGCTTTACTTATTTCCATTAAAAAAAATCTTCCCATCAGGGAGCATTTGTTACTACATTTACATGCAGTGTCTACCATAACTACCTGTACCGAGTCTGTACTGAGACTATGAGATAAAAGCAATAGTGAAATTACAGGAAGAGCGTAACTATATCCCATTCCAACAAACCTATTTAATATTTTTATCTGTGAACCTTGGAAGCTTTAGATGAACCATACATAACATTTCTGTGTAGTCCTCTAAATCTCTAATAGACAAGCTGTATATCTTTTTTTTTTTTTCAACAGACTTTGAGTCATAATTCCATTATTTCAGATATTTTGGGTAGATGAGAACCAGTTTATAATACGATCAAATTTATTTGTCTTCCTGCTGAAAAAGAGAAATAATTTGAGGTAAACAATGTTTTATTTGGATTGTTTTCTGAAAGGGTTTCCTGTGTTAGTTGCACTGCCTTATGAAAAGGAGAAAAATAATCAGGCATTCTTTATGCATATGTCATGCATTCTATAATCCAACAAAGTAAAAAAAGGAGATTCTACATGTATCAGAAACTACTTATTGAATAACAAATATAATAAGACAGATGCTGAGACCAAACAAGGATATGTCTAAAATACATGTATTCAGTACATCCTGGTTTATGGCTGCTATTGCCTTGATGTAGTTTCAGTGCTCCAAGGCTAAAAGAGAAGTTAGACACTAAGAGGCCATGTGGCTCTGCCTGTGTGAGAAACATCAGACAGGCTTAAACTTATCCTGTTTGCATTCTGAGCTGGCTGACACTTTTCCACATGTAGTCCAGAGGCAGGATAGCTGTTCTAACTGCTACAAATTTTCTGAGGGTACTCCTGAAATTAAGGTATTAAGACTCTTCCACTAAGCCTGTGTACATTCTAACACACAGATGTCAGCTCTCTCTCAGTAGATTGTGCTCTGTAAATAAGAGGAAAATTACCATTGAAATTTCAAGGAAAAACATTATTAGCAGGAAAAATGCAACCTTTCATTGTAAAAAAAAAAACACATGCCTTCGTATTTCTTGTACAGAGTAAGTTTCACTCTCATGTTTCACTGGCTTCATTTATTTGATTTAATACTTAGAAAAAGAGCTGGGAGTGATATGCAACAGTCTTACTGTACAGAACAGATGCAATTTCCAAACAAGTTTTGTCAGTGTCTGCTTGCGTGCTTGTCTGTCAGTGGTGTGTTTGGTTGGAAATATGACACTGTAACAAGCAGAAGGCTACTGTTACTGAAGCAAGTCTTATTTTGCTGTGGGTAATATCTACTGAAACCTGTCTGCAGATAAGAATGAACAGTCCTCACAACCGAACCAGAAGGCACTGAGGCTTCCTAGCTTAAGACACTAACCACTTTGCAGACAGTCTTAAAGGGAGTCAGTATGGACCTAGACATTCTAATTACAGAGAATAAAAATGAGTGTAAAGTAAGACAAACAAAGATAAAAGTTCTTAAATACTTTACACAAATGGAAGGATCTGCAGATGAGGATCCAAACACAGACAGAGTGGACCAAGGCATTGGGTTTGACTTGGTCAAAGGAAGGAAGCAGATATTTGGGTTTTGTTCTCTATACAGCAAGCATATAATATATGCCTGCAGCTAATGTGACAACAACAAAAAAATTCATAAATGGTCTGTCAGCATATGGCATAGATGGATGACCATTAACAAGGCGGAGTTTAACCGGTTCATATGTTGATAATCACATTCATGTTGGTGTTATTACCAGTGCACTTGCTATAAAAAAACACACTTTTCATTGCTCTAATGTACAGATTATGTGCAGGAGTGTTTATGGTTCTGTGAGAAATGAAATTAATACCAGAAATCAATTTTGTCAATGTTTTTGTGTTTTATATGTCCATAGGCATTTCCTCTGTATTCTGACTACAATATATTAAAAAACACCCCAAAGATAGCTCCTTATATAGTATTGCCAATTAACAGCAATAGCATGTTGGAGGAAGTAGTACGCTGAAAATATGAAATTCTTTAATATTAAGCAACACATTTTATTATACTGGTTTAATGTATCTGCATTAGATAGTGCAGTAGTGTAAGTGGATTTTTCTGTTTATTAACTTTTATTCTTACAGAAGAACTGAGCAGAAAAAAACTAATTTTCATATTTCACCATCTTTATATCTGTAAATCACTGTGATTTTTATCCTGGGGTATTAGTTTGTACTCAAAGAAAAGCTCCAATTTAGGTATGGCTGCTGACTGCTGTTATTTCACTTCAATCTTTTTAGCAAGACCATGGAATTGAACTGGTGACCATCTTTTTAGGTTTATATTCTGAAATATAATGTTGATATATTGCACTGATGTTTAGTTTAGCAAACTAAACAAAATAAGCCTGAGGAAGAATAAAATTTGACCTACTAATGAATGGCATTTTAACCAAGGCAGTTCATTTTCATCTTTGATGGGAGGAAAACAAGACACATGGATCATCCTGGGGGCTCTTTCATTCATGGGAATAAAGTATGATAAGGACAATTGACTGCTCATTAAAGAAGTAGAGTAGAAAAACCAAAGAGGATGAATGACAGTGAGGGAATGCTCTAGGACAGCAATAGTTGCGGAGGACTGGGAGAGCTATAATGTAATAGCCATCTGCGTAAGCAGAAATATGTAGAGACAGCAGTCCAGCTGGCATAGAAGAAATAACCTGTTCTGCACATAAAGATAAGCATTTATGGAGCTAGAAAGTATCAAAACACAAAACACAGAAACCCTGGTTTTTATAAATATTTTGAAAATAATGACATTTAGGCTTTCAATATAGAGTTAGCTGAACTAATTTAGCAGAAGTAAATCCCCTTTACCATCAAGGCCTGCTAAGGCAGATGTCATCCAGAATGTCTGCCACATTAGAACATATACTTCAATTATACCAATGATTTTGAGCAATGCATTAAATCTGTGCCTTTCTGAATTAATTTGCTGTGTGTGCAGTCCCTATCCCTTGTCTAGCACTTCACCACTGACATGAAGAATACTTTATGTAAATAACTTCTAAGTGGAGTAACTTCTTATTAATGCAGAAAGTTTATAAGGTGAAAGCAAACAGCATTTGGCAGCAAAAACTTTTAATGAGTTTGTCATTATGGAATTCAGTCTGGAAAACACAAACTGATTTTACAGCACACTCGAGTGACTCTATGCCTCTGTATTTCTACATTGTATGCAAAACATACAAATGTCATTTTACATTACTTTCCCCACATTTTAAGTTTTACAGGTATCGGGCAATCCCAGGTACTGGGGGGTCCTGGTGCTCAAGCAGTTGGACATGAGCCAGAGTGCGCGCTTGCAGCCCAGAAGCCAACTGTGTTCTGGGCTGCACTAAAAAAGGGGTGGCCAGCAGGGAGAGGGAGGTGATCGTCCCCCCTCTACTCAGCTCTTGTGAGGCCCCATCTGCAGAACTGCATCCAGGCCTGGGGCCCACAGTACAGGAAGGATGTGGAGCTCTTGGAGTGGGTCCAGGGAAGGGCCACTAAGATGATCAGAGGGCTGGAGCACCTCTACTACGAGGAAAGGTTGAGGGAACTGGACCTGTTTAGCTTGGAGAAGAGAAGGCTCCGGGGAGGCCTTATTGTGGCCTTCCAGTACTTAAGGGACCATATAAACAGGAGGGAGTAGCTGTTTGAAAGGGTAGATAATGATAGGACAAGGGCGAATGGTTTTAAACCGAGACAGGGGAGGTTTAGGTTAGATATTAGGAGGAAGTTTTTCATGCAGAGGGTGGTGAAGCACTGGAACAGGTTGCCCAAGGAGGCTGTGGATGCCCCATCCCTGGAGGCATTCAAGGCCAGGCTGGATGTGGCTCTGGGCAGCCTGGTCTGGCAGTTGGTGACCCTGCACATAGCAGGGGGTTGAAACTGGATGATCATTGTGATCCTTTTCAACCCAGACCATTCTATGATTCTATGATTGTGCCAGAAAATTGGCAATACTGGAAGATTTCTTTGACAGCATCTATATCTCTGGTGAACATCATTTGAAAAGAGGCAAACAGAAAGATAAAGTTAGAAATGTGAATTGGGTGAATTCTCACTTTACAGGTCAATATTTTCTGTGAACTTAAACAAAATTGGCAGAGTGATCAAGAATGGCAGCTGCTTTATGAGTTTCATGTTTCTTTCCTGCTGTTGCTTCCCAATGGTTATTTATACATTCCATCAAAGAGACTGTATGTTTCCTTCTTTTCCTATATTTTTACATGAAAGAACTTGAGGCAGTAAGTGAATGAAAATCTAAACTGGCTCTTTCCT